TAAATTTAGATTGGAAATTAGGAGTAGCATTTCCAATGGCATCAACTGCAAAATATCAAAATAGACTGACTAAGGATAAATCTCCATCAGAAACTTGTTAGCTCACTAAACATTCCTTCCTTGTGACTGAAATATGGTGAATTTATGAGAACAAGTCAGTCACCTCCTTTCATTCAGAGGTGGGTCATCTGAGCTTCTAGATGAGTTACCATGGAAATTCATTAACCATTACTCAGAAACAACTTCCAGCATGAAGGGTTTGTAACACTGCGTGGAAACTATAATTGATATACAACCCTGAGGGAGCTCTTGGAAGGAAAACACAGAGGGAAAGTGGCACACTTGAACCACATTGAGATTGAGAGTCCTTAATTATGACAAAAACAAAGCCAGAGATGCAAACAACAAGAGCTGGGCTGCAGAAACAAGAACCAAGACAAGAACACCAACCCCAAACACGGTGTCAGCAACTGCAGCCAGCAAAGCAGAAAACAGCATTAACTGTCTCCAGCAAAACTCAGCGACAAAAAAAGCCCAAACCAAGAGAAGCAAAGCAGGAGAGCAAACTGAGGCATGCTGTCCTCTGCTGGAAGAGGCTCTGGAGGAGCCTGGAAGCACACGGGGACCGCTTTGATCATTGCTCTGATCCTCGGTCAATGCAAGATCGAGGCATTGCTTTAAAGCGGGGCTGCTGCTCTGGAACTCCGGCACTGCTGCCACCAAAGGGACACTGCCGAGGCCACCTCTGCCACACCACCACACCTCCACGGCAAGGGAAGGGAACAGGAGCAGGGAATAGAATGAAAATTAACACTTTTTTCCTAAGACAACAAGATAAATCATTTTTTGTAATTGACTTCCTTCATCCTGTTCGCTTACAGCAATGTACCAAGGCAAGCAAAAGCTCTCAGGCTGCATCTTTTCAATGTAGTTCACACGTGGTTTAAAAACATGCACATCACAGGAAAGATGACAAGACAAAAATAAAAAATATATTAAAGGGCTGCTACTGCAGCACTGGACTTGTATGGTGTACATCCAGAAAGAATTTAGAGTACAGCCTTTCAAACTTCCACACTAACTAAGGATGGTCTCCAGATCCGAAAGTGAATTAGTTCAGACTATCTGTGACTAAAATCAGCAATAGCCAGTGATGGGTACTATCTAAGAGCTGAGTTTTGGGAGAAAAGGGAAAAAAGTAATGACTGGTCTTGGGAAAAAAGAAAAAAAAAGAAAAAACCACGAATGAGTTAAGACTACCATCAGCGCAGCTTCGCAAGAGCATTTTCCAACATTCAAACCAGCACCAAACCTTCAGGAAAGCACTCTTCATTCAGCACAATTAACACATCATAATAACACCACAAAACACTTTTTTCTTTACTACTCCAGCACAGTTTTAAACAATAAATGTTTCACTCCATGGGAAATGTATTTTTCCCCGTTTCTCACGCCGCAGCCTGGCAGCGGAGCGGGACAGGAGCGTGTCCCAAGCTCCCGCCGCGTCCCGCGGGTCCCTCCCGGCAATTTCACCGCACAGAACGCACCGAGGGCAGCCAGACCCACACCGGA